TCTTCTCCCTTTTTTCTCTCCCCTTTCTTTTTTTTTACACGGGGTTTTTAAAAGGGGTTAAGGATCCCTAGCTTTACAGGTTAAGGATTCCTAACTTTATTGACAAGCTAAGAGCTGTTACCTTCTTCAGCTCATTTAAAAGCATTTTTGTTATGAGGCATACAAGTAGGGAACAGGATGAAGTTGGAGCCATCTGTGGGCCAGCATTTTCATTTGATCAACTGACTTTATCTCTTTGACATCATTATGCTGTACGAATGTGTTTCATACTCGAGTCATCCTGGGTATATATGATCTCAGATGGAGTGATGTTCTGGAGAAGGGTACAGCCAGAGTGAAGTTGCTGCTTTCTGCCCGTCTTGTGGCATAGAAGCTTGTTTCACGCTGTCCTCGAAGTGGATCCAAGTGTGGTACTTTGACAATATTGGCCTCTCTCTCTCTCTCTCTCTCTCTCTCTCTCTCTCTCTCCTCCGCCCTCCTTAAAATACACTACTATCATTCAGCAACTTTTGCTCTCATTCTAATTCCTTCTTAGCTCTTCTCCTCTGCCTGGCGTAGCCTGTGAATACTGCCGCCCCTCCCCTGACCCTGGGGGTGAGGGAGAAACTATTGACGTCATTGCAAAAATAGTGGGGAGCAGGAGAATGCACTTGTGTTCTGTACAGTTGTCAAGGTGGAGTGTCTCCCTCCATCCCTACCCTCTATACCCTCTATCCCTTTCTTCTGCGCTTTACCACTTTCTCTGCTCTTCCCATTTTTCCTCTTATCTTTTAATCCTTTCCCCCACCCCCTTCTCTCAGTGTGTTATGGGCATTGATCCAGTGTGGGCAAGTTGTCCACTTTCCGTGTAGAAATGAGAATTTGTTGAGGGGTTATTGGATTATTGAGGCTGGGACTTTGGGTAGTTTCAAATATAGGTTGGATAAGTACATGAGTGGGAGGGGTTGGATTTGAGTGGGACTTTCACATCAGAGCTGATTTCTTGGGTAGCATTGAAAATTGGGTTGGGCAAATGTTTTGTTAGTGGGATGAATTGTAAAGGACCTGCCTAGTATGGGCCAACAGGCCTCCTGCAGTGTTCCTCCTTTCTTATGTTCTTATGTCAGGTTCAAGCTAACATGCGGGAACCAGGACCTTTATCAGTGTAATGTTTGTCTGGTGATGTTAAAGCTCTTACGGAATTAGAGAATAATGAGGTTTTATCACGTTTAATTCCTTGAATCAAGAGCCCTTCACCAGCATTAACGCACTCTTCTTCTTAAAAGTGGGCGAGTGACTGTTTAAGACAGTTACCACAAGCATGATTGTTATTATAAAAACCATAACAAAACTACTAGTACTACCACTACTATTACTACTACTACATTTGTTATTACTACTGCTAATAATTTTAACGCCAGCCGTTTCTCACCGAGACCAGGTAACTAAAAACAAACACACACACACACACACACACAACACACACACACACACACACACACACACACACACACACACACACACACACACACACACACACACAAAATGAAAAAAAAAGAAACGTTCACCATCACTCATTCCATCGCTTTGTTGCCGAAAGCGCGCCTATGTCACAGTTCAACTAGGCCTCCCAACTGCAGCTCCCTCACTCTAGTGCTGGAACTGAGGTAAACATTCACTGTCTGAACATCGGTAACTTTTCTTTCGTAAACATCGTGTCTGAGTTATGGTATCACCTTGAAACTCTTCTGTGAGAGTCACTCCTAACCAAGTGCTTCCAGCGGAGTACTGAAGCTGTGTCTTGAGTGACGTGAGCAGCCCTACTGTAGGGCTCACGTCAGCATGAAAAACGGCAACAGATTACAAGTGGAAACGGCAACAAATGAAAAAAAACCAACAGACAGCAAGAAAGGGCAACAGATGACAAGAAAGGGCAAGAAACTGCAAGGGCAACAAATGACAAAAAAGGAAAACAGATGGCGAGAGAGCAACAGATGGCAAGAAAGGGCAACAGATAGCCAGAAATGGCAACAGATGGCCAGAAAGGGCAACAGATAAGAACGACCCGACAAGTGATGACACGGAAAGAAAGAATACAGGAACAGAGGGACGCCAGTGTGACATGAGAAACAATGGATGTGTGTGTGTGTGTGTGTGTGTGTGTGTGTGTGTGTGTGTGTGTGTGTGTGTGTGTGTGTGTGTGTGTGTGCATGCGTGCGTGCGCGCGCGTGCGTGCGCTTGTCCCAGGGTAGACCAACACCTTTGTTATGGTCTCACTATTGTGCCTCTATTTTGTTCCATGACGCTTTGCCCACTTCTGCATGACGGCACCTCCACTGCTCGCTCTCTCTCCCTACCTCTCCTACTCTCTTTTGACCTGTATTTCTCCCTCCCCCTTCCACACACACGTACTGTACATCTTCACAATATTTCCAGAAAGTCATTGAGGAAGTATTGCCTAGGAAACAGCGAGTGTGGTGTCACAGTAGTTGTTAAACTGTGGTAGTGTGGCACTGCATAGATATTATGAAGGACTGTGATAGTGTGGCACTGCATAGATATTATGAAGGACTGTGATAGTGTGGCACTGCATAGATATTATGAAGGACTGTGATAGTGTGGCACTGCATAGATATTATGAAGGACTGTGATAGTGTGGCACTGCATAGATATTATGAAGGACTGTGATAGTGTGGCACTAAGCCAGGGCCGCGGTGGTGAGCATCCCTGGACCCATCACTAGATAGACATGCAGTCTCGGGTGGGTAACAACCTGGTTGATCAACAGCTGTTTTTAGCTACCTCTCCAAGACAGAGGTCGTGGGTAATTCCTTATATATTTGAAGGAGCAGTTTGAAAGGTCTTAGATCCTTTATGCTTATTATTTATTAAAATGCTAATTGCGCCACATTTTTTAGTTGTGTAATTGTGCTATTTGTATTCTTATTAGTATTAACAACTGCACATGTATTAATAACAACAGTTGTGAAGTAGTAATAATACTAATAAGTGAACATCAAAATGGTATACAATACCGACAGGTTGTTAGGTAAGACACATATGCAACAGTTAGACAACTTTATTCCGAAACGTTTCGCCTACACAGTAGGCTTCTTCAGTCGAATACAGAAAGTAGGCAGGAACAGTAGAGATGTGAAGACGATGTAATCAGTCCATCACCCTTAAAGTCGTAGAATTTGAGGTTGTCAGTCCCTCGGCCTGGAGAAGTTCAGTTCCATAGTCAGGAACTATCTGATAGTTCCTGACTATGGAACTGAACTTCTCCAGGCCGAGGGACTGACAACCTCAAATTCTACGACTTTAAGGGTGATGGACTGATTACATCGTCTTCACATCTCTACTGTTCCTGCCTACTTTCTGTATTCGACTGAAGAAGCCTACTGTGTAGGCGAAACGTTTCGGAATAAAGTTGTCTAACTGTTGCATATGTGTCTTACCTAACAATACTAATAAGTGTTTCAGACACTTCTAAGTTGTGGTGATAGTTAATAGTTGTGTGTTGTGTTTCAGACACTGCTGAGTGAGTTCAACAAGGAACAAGAAGCGTTCATCAAGGCTAAAGGTGGCAAAGGTGGTGAGGCTCTGCCACCCTGGGTCGGCTACCCTGATGAAGACAGTCTGAAGGAGGAGATTTTGGCTCTCTCTACCGTAAGTAGTATTGTCTTATTGTCATCCTCGCCCTCGCCTATCTCAACCCTTCCCCGCCCGCACCTGTATCAGAGGCACTGGCAAAACCCACAGAAAACCCAAATGTTCCAGCAGTCATGGTTTTAAAAATAAAGTTGAATATATAAGGAAACTCTTTACCGAAGCAAATACTGTGCTTGGAGCAGTCATAGAAACACAGACGGGATGGCTTGGACAGTAAGATATTACTGAAAAATTACAATATTTATAGATGTTGGAGAGTAAATAAGTCACAGGGATGGGTAGGACTCTCTGAAACACAGGAATTGAATTCATCAGTGGAAGTACTAGGTATAAAATTGGAGAACAAGAATCTTAGTAATTATCCTTGTGTATAAACCACTATCAGCAACTGATGAAGAATTCACGGAACAGACAAGGAAATTAGATAGCTTCCTCGAAAACCTTGAAAATCCTACAACAAATATCCTCCTGAGGGATTTCAACCTTTTCAAATGTGAAATGGAAGCTTTTAAACAACAACATGGTATAAACCTTGGTAATAAATACCGACAAGTTGGTTTAGAAAGACACGTAAGCAAACACTATAACATATTTATTAGAAAACGTTTCGGTCCTGGGACCTTGATCACTTCTAACATACAGAGGTAGGAAGACATTAGGCGGAGAGTGAGATGTGACGCACGTGACCTGAGGAATGTCATAAGAACATAAGAATGGAGGAACACTGTAGAAGGCCTACTGGCCCATGCGAGGCAGGTCCTTATCAAAAACAACCTCTGCCTATGATGAGGACGGGTAGACGATGAAATCACGTGACTCGTGTGTTGTTGGGTTGGTGCTGCTTAAGTATCATGTATGCCAATGTTTTTGAAATTTTGTAGTTTCCAGTGTTGCGTTCTATAGTGTCGGTGACGGCGATTAGTGAGGCTTCTAGGCACCGTCGGCGTCTGAGGTCTGGTTCGGCATGGGCCAGTAGGCCTTCTACAGTGTTCCTCCATTCTCATGTTCTTATGACATTCCTCAGGTCACGTGCGTCACACCTCACTCTCCGCCTATATATAATGTCTTCCTACCTCTGTATGTTAGAAGTGATCAAGGTCCCAGGACCGAAACGTTTTCTAATAAATATGTTATAGTGTTTGCTTACGTGTCTTTCTAAACCAAACAACAACATCAACGTGCCTGGAGTACCTTAGCCCAACAGATTCTTGTGAGAGAGGTAATGGAACTCTGTGATGTTTGCTTTCAACCAACAGATAACAGAATCTACTAGAAATGAAAATGCACTTTAACTTCGTCTTCACAAATAATGATGAACTAATCAAAGACAGTCTCAGAGACAATATACTCACATCACAGCCTCACAGAAATATGACCAAGTATAAATTCAGGCGGTGGAGAGCTTCGTTAATAGTTATACCGAGAAGGAATATTCAGCAAAATTAACTGTCTTCACAACACCTCGCTCACCTCTATCTCCACCCCATCCACATCTGTCTCCACAACCCCTTGCCCTCATTTTCTCCACCCCCTTGCCTACAAATGTCTCCACCCATGACTTATACCTGCCTCCACCCACACTTGTCTCCACCCACCTGCCCCCACCTGTCTCCAACCTCCTTGCCCACATCTTTATCCACCCCTTGCCTACATCTGTCTCCACCCCCCTGCCCACACCTGTCTCCACCCCTCTGCCCACACCTGTCAAAACCCCTCTGCCCACACCTGTCTCCACCCCTCTGCCCACACCTGTCTCCACCCCTCTGCCCACATCTTTCTCCATCTCCCTGCCCACATCTGTCTCCGCCCTCGTCCCCACCACTTCTGTCAGATGCTAGGTGTTCAACACACCTCCAGAGAATCTCCTGATTTGCTCTGACACTCTGGCTGCGACCCTAATGTCAGAGCAGAGCTCTTGAGAGTTGAAAGCCTCATACCAGCGAAAACATCAGCCCTGGCACCACTTGAACTCAAGAAGACTCACCGTAATAGGGCTGCCACCGCCGTAGGGCTGTAGACGGTACTACTATTAACACTAAAAAGGCTCACCACGCTCGTCATAGGGCTGTAAGCGGTACTCCACTTGACCTGAAGAAGACTCGCCATGCCCTTGTCATAGGGCTGCCCCCACCATAGGGTTGTAAACGGTACTGCACTTGACAGGAATTCTCATCGTGCCCATGCCATAGGGCTGTAAACGGCACAAACTCGACACTCCTCACTCCTTCGGGATCCACTACCAGGTCACCACATAGAGAAGACCCGGGCCAGGAATCGTCTTGGAAAGCCTACCACAACCTAAATCTGAACCCTCCCCCACAGTACACATCTCCTTACCCCTCCTCCCTGCCGAGACCTGCCTCCTCCCCAGCCCACACTTGTGAAATACTGTATGAGGTTTATCCTGGTATTGTGGTCATTTTGCCATTTATTAATCCAAAGAGAATATCCCCTCACAGGAGCTTCTTGGTCCATGGAAGTGGACATGACCATCCCTTCCTTGCAGTGCTGGATTTAGGTAGTGGGGGGCCCCTTGCATTAAAAAGGTCTAACTCTAATGGCTAGAAGACTAAAGTTTCTCCTTGGAAAACTTTTGCCACTCTCAGTATACGTACCATCCTCTTAAGATGAAGAAATAAAACAGTAAATTGGATTTATAGTGTATTTTAGCACCCTTTCGGTTCATTTGCAAATGTAACTCAAAAGTATTGTACAGACTTGTGAGGAGTTATCTTCAGTCAGATAGAATATTATAAACCAGGTACATTCGGTGCTTTTCTGATGGAAAAGTCTCTGATGACTCCATCAAAATCCAACAAGCGCAGGATGTCAGATTCTATGCTCATGACTGTCAGGTTCACAAGCTGACCTTGCTTCATGCTTGTTTGTAGCCTGTTCTCACTACCACACTGTTGTTCACTTACTGACCACGATCAAGCAGTCATTCATACTGCAGTGCCCTGCACACCCAGGATGATGATGTGCTGTGAGTCATCCTCGCATCGTGCAGCTGACGATGCGCTCACACCGATGATGTAACACCAGTGATCAGATGACTAAACATGACAATCCTACCACAATTCAAACTTTTGCATACATTTTCTCTCTTTTGCGATCTATTCAATTCTCATTATAATGTGTCATAATATTTTTCATCATATGGTGGGGGGCCTGGCCCCCAGGGCCCCTCCCCTAAATCTGGCCCTGCTTCCTTATATCAAAGTTCATTACCTACCATTCCCCCCAGATGTTGTATGACCCCTATGGGTTTAGCATTCCTATTCCTCCCATCATCATAATATTAATAAAAATAATAATAGTCCACTAGAATAGTGCCTGGCTCTTCATGGCCAGCTGGCTGGCACCATTTTCCCTCGAGTACCTTATGATCGCTTGAAATATTGGTTTAGAAGCAGTTTTGCTTTATGTATTTTCTTTTTAAATCCATTGTAGTATAGTAATGGTAAATCATGCAGCAGCACTCATGTTAGATCATCTATGATTAAGGCTGGCTATTATAAATGGCCTTGCCATTCTGTTTGAAAATTTTATTTCACAAATGCTCTGGTTTACATGCATAACTAAACCAGTTTTGTTATTCTTGTCTCTTCTTTATTAATACAAGTTCTATATTCCTTTACTAATAGTCTGAAGAGGTAATGAAGTGTTTGTGTGCTTTTTTTTTTTTTAAACTCACGTGGCATAAATACCTGCACATGAATATACTGCATGTGAATATATCTCATATAAATATGCTATGTATTAATAAACTGTTGACTGAGCATATGTACTATATTTTCATCTAGCTCATGTTTAGCAAGCTTTAATGGGAAATATTATGGTTTTAGTCAATGCTTTTCACATTTTTAATAAGGTAAAGGACATGTTTAATAATACCTGTTGTCTTCATAATCAGGATTGTCCTGTACTTTACAGTGTTATATTAAATTTTGAGTTATATGGACTAACAAGAAACTTGCCTTCCAGGATCGACGGAATTTTGTACGTAGCCCTCCTACAGGCGTGAGCTTTGAATTCGAGTTAGAGGCCTTCCTGCCTGTTGCCCAGGCCACCCTTGCAGCTGATCCCAACCTGGAGAAGATGCGTTTCGAACTGGTGCCTAAGACGTAAGTGCATTAAAGTTAGAATGAAGGTATCTGGACTCTGTCGTCTCTTGTAAATGTTTGCAAATACATGTACATACTGAAATAAATATAAATGCTGTTATTTTTTAAAAGAATTGTTGTCATTACATTCGTCAGATAAAAGCACCTAATGTGGGTCTTTGTCATATGATGACTTGTTCAGTGATGCCACTGGACCTGTGTCATGGGCATGACAAGAAAAAACTGCTCACATGTAGTGCTGTAGATGATAATGTCTACTTGCTCATATGCAAGTATGGTAGCTCTGGGCCCAATGGCTTACCATAGAATAGCAACTGCTGGCACCTTTCGAGTTCAGTGGCTTATTATTATTATTAGTCCTAGTTTGCCACCAGTAACTTCAAAAGCTTCAATAAAGTTTAACAGAATTAAGTTTGGTGTGGGTATCTGACCTCTTTCAAGAGGAGCTGTCACTTTGTTGGGAGGATGTACAGTTTGATCCATTGTTATTTACTAATATTGTACCTGGTTACTCTTTATTGTGCATGTGGCATGATGATATTTAAACATCTAAATATTTTATGTTCCTTTTATAAGAATCTGTTTTCATTGTAGGTTATGCTAATGGATGTTAGGAGATTGCAGAGGTCTTGGCTTATGCATTTTCTGTCATATTAAGCACATTTTAATATTGGAAGCTGATTGGTTCAATGAAGGAGCATTTTTGGGTATCCTCCAAAAGGGGATACCTATAGTGGTTATTGGGATTCTGTTTTTTCCTTCCTAAGTTCCTATGCAATAACTTAATAACCACTCTTCTGATAGGATTCAAACTTTCAGTGCTGGTGTATTTTACAAAGGCTTAGGTTGTTATTGAACTGTGTTTGAGTGCCAATTTCCTAAACTGATTTAAACACTTATGCTCTACATTGTTGGTAACTGCAAAAGCCCTGCTTACCAAAAATGTACCTGAAGACAGTTTTGGGGGTCACCACCCTCGTCCCAAATCAGGCCTCCAGATGGATGGCATGAGTAACTAGACTGTTCAGCATATGCACCACAGCACAGCTGATGGAATTGATTTGAGGAACAAGCAAGTTACCTTCTGAAGACAGTTATGGGTCTGTTGGTAATTCCTCTTACATATGAATGGAGGGTGTTGAAAAGTTTTGTTCTCTTTATTAAGTTGTCTCGGCATACTCATTCACACTTAAAAACGAAGCTGAGGTAGACTTCTGATAAAGGACATATGGATTGTCTTAAATCACCACCAGTCATTTTCTGATGAAACCTCTGGGTAAATGTGAGATTATTTGCTAAATTTCTAAGAATGTGCATGTGCTCATCATTGTTGTACTGAGTGGCAGCATATGGTCATTTGTTACCTTCAGATTTATAGCCCTGTACTTTTCCACATATTTTTTCTGTAAAAATATTATTGCCTCTTTATTTCCTTACGAATTATTAGCAGAAAATTGGTATGGTGATACTGACAAGATGTGGAAAAAAACACTTACGTACAGTTCAGGATATTTATTAAAGGAAACATTTTGCTATGAGTGTCGTCTTCAGTCCTCAGGACTGAAGACGACACTCATCGCAAAATGTTTCCTCTTATAAATGTACTGAAGAGTACATAAGTGTCTTTTTCCAAATCATTAAAAGTATCATCCAGATGCTGTTAATGTGTTAGCCAGTGCTGCTGTTGATTCCTTGTATTATATCAAACTCTTATGTTTTGAGTAGGTTACTTAGAAATGACAAAATTTAATAATAAAACTCTAGTAAGTGCACGTGTTCAATTTCTACTCATCCTTGAAGTTCATCATATAAACATTTCTGCATAAAATTAGTAACTGTTTGTTAAGGACCATCAAAGTATTTTGTGTATGATTCTGAAAAGATTTCATTCCTGCTGTAATCTTCATCTTCAGACCTCCTGAACTTCAGCCTCATAATTACATATTAATCTTTAATCCCCAGCTTTAAACTGTATACTTCGATATTTTGGCTACTAAATTTAATCCTCAAATTATCGGATATTAATGTCTTATTTTATGTTTCATATTGTTTTCTTACACTGTTCCTGGAGTGGGAAGGATCTACTCAAGGGTTTTATATAAGTCCCTCAGTCTATCTGTCCATATGTCAATTTTGCCAATTTCACACAAATTTCAAAAGATGCCAATTTCCAAATAGGGTCAAGAAAAAACAAGGCAGGCATTCTTGGCACTAAAATAACATTTTCTCTGTTGATTCCTCATGTCCCCAGGCCTCTTCTACATTTCTTTTGCTTTCCACTTTGAATTTTTATTCTCACAAAAAAATAGAAGATTTATGTTATACAGACTACTGCATTCATGTAGAAATGGTATAAATAATATCAGCGCACTTGTGAAAGAATATTAGACTCGCCAGTTGTCGTGTATTGGATGCGTGACATGATTTGTTTACATTTGAACTTTGGCAAAAATCGAACATTTCTGCTACTTTGAGCTCAATTTCTAGGTACTTTTCATTGTGAAACCAATCAAAGTCATCTCAATTTCCATAATATGTCTTCCATTCTATAAAATGAGACCAGGAAAACTAGAATACAACCATAAATAGCATACGAAAAACACTGCAAAGTCGCTGTTTTAAACCAAAAACACGGTCGGAGTTTTTTTTTCTCATTATGCACTGTGTGCTGCAGGATATTTTTTATACTGCGCACACTGACCACATAGACCCATTCTTTCATATGTAGGCCTACCAGCTTTCTCTCGCTAGATTTGAAGGCACTAGAATTTATGCGTACTAGTACGGCACCAACCCTGGCGTGCAAGCCGTACTAGTATGGCACCAACCCTGAAAGGGTTAAACAATAGGTGATATATCATATATTTATCAATCAAAATTATTTTATTTCAGTTGACCTTCACATGAGCCTGTAGACCTACTGCAGTGATTCTTATCTTCTTATTGTACTCCTCGACTCACATCTTGAGTAACCTTGGCATCTTTTCTTAATCTTTGTTGTCTATACCTTACTTTTTCATTTCTGTTTTACTCTTTCACATTCTTTCATAATTTTCAAGTACACCCTTACAGGTATACATACACTGTACTGTATCTTTGGTATTTTACCAGTAGTGTTATGGATAGTACACCCTGTGTTGATAGTTCAGTTTTATGCCCCAAATTAAAAAACTGGTTCATTTAGCATTTCAAACATTTTTTTTTTTGTCGTTAATGCATTGGATTGTAATAGTACTTTATTATAGTACAGTACATATATGCAGTGTTTGGTCACGTAGTATTTTTAGATGTCTGCATAGGCCTGTGTGCATGTAATTTCTCTTTTAAATCTTTGTGTCAGTATTTCCAAAATTTACTTATGTTTTAGAGAATTACTCAAGTTATGCATTTTAGAACATTTCTCATGATACACCTAATTGTACCTAATCTTGGTATTTGTTAACAGTGATGATGGTATAATGATGCTGTTGGCTATAATGCTATGTATTTGACAGAATTAATGAAGAAACCTTCTGGAGGAACTATTTCTACCGTGTTGGGCTCATCAGGCAGAGTACAGAGCTGTCATCACTGGAGAGGGAGGGTGTGGATGCTGCTAACAAGACAACTTCTAGTGGAGACAAGGGTATATATAGCTTTTGTCACTACTATGAAATAAATTAACTAGTAATGATAATACTTTGGGTCTACTTTATTGTGTTTACCATAAATTGGGACTAAATGGACCTATTGCACATTTTATTGATTGACTTCTTGAATAAAATGATTAATGTATTTTATTTCATATACTGTATATTAGGGAATAGAATAGGGGAGGCAGACAAGAGCATAATCTATAAGATAGTACAGTCTTATTCATTATAATTCAGCAAACTACAGTATGTATATTGCTGTACTGTATTTACTGTATATTTGTATATGTGGGTGTGTATAAAGTCATGAACAAAGATAGGGTGTGCAAGTGTGAGTAGTTTACTGTGATTTCTGTACATGATGAAAAATAAGTAAAGACTAAGGTTTTGGGGAGTAAAAGCAAAATAAAATATTTAAGGAGATTTGAAGAAAGTGGGTAGCATGACTAGACCTATAATGGTGGGAGGTGCAGTACTTGCATCAGGAAGGATGGATGGGTATACTTCACTTTGGTGGGCTATTTGAATTATGATGTCCATGCAGTTTTATTAAGACAGAATGAGTGAGGGTGAATGTACTTTTTTTATGTGGGTCACCCTACCTTGGTGGGAAATGGCCAGTGTTTTAAAAAAAATTAAAATAACTATATCACTACAAATATTAAATGTTACACATGAACTCTGAATCAGAAGAAATTTAAATATTAAGAAATTTTAATTGGGCAGAATGAGACATTGGTTCACAATTTTTTTTAGGTACATTTTTCTCAATGTGCATATTTACATTCTTTTTCTAGTTCCTCTTTCTTGTGCTTGTTGTCTTCCTCTGCCTTCTCTATTCTTTTCCTTTTATGTTGTACTTTAGCAGTCCTTATCCTTTCCAAACATCTTTTATTCTCAGTGCAGTTGGTGATTGCTTCACTAAATGGATGACCAGAGCATTGTGTAAAGTTCCTCAACAAATGTTGAAACATTTCTGCATGAGGCTAACATTTGGAGGTGGCTGATATGCTTGTAGACGATCTACTCAAGACTCCCACCCTCAAGGAAGGAAAGTTCCCATTTGGAACATGGCATTGAAGGTGTAAATAAACACATTACTAAAATGTTTGCTGAGGCACAAAAATGGAATCATATTAAGTTATTTACAAAAGAGAGAGTTTGATGAAAATGGATTTATGTCTGCAGAGGCACATCCACATGATTGGCAAACATGTCATACAAACTTTACTTATGATAGGCTAGAAAAAATATTAGTCAAACCACATCAGCATGTTGCATTATGGATGACCGTATTGAACTGGGTTTGCTTAGTTAGTACTAGAGTAGCATTTTTTCATATACTGTATTGCTATCAAATATTTTTATGCAAATGATGTGAGAAGAAAAAGAGTGAAGGAAAAAATTTACCATAAATAGAAATTGCATACTCTCTAATTTGTGTTTGCAGGAGTCGATACTTACCTCCTGGCTCTGCCTCCTTGACCGCCTTGACGGCACCACTGACTTCTGGCCACTTTGGCCTTATCATGTCTACTTTTGAAGAATTGTGGCATGTGGGTGTGTGTGTGGATGTGTGTGTTGGGGGGGTTTGGGGTGTGTGTGTGTGGTTGTGTGGGTTTGGGGTGCATGTGCGGTTGTGTGGGTTTGGGGTGTGTGTGTGGTTGTGTGGGTTTGGGGTGTGTGTGTGGGGGGGGGTTGTGGGCATGTGGGTGTATGTGTTTGGGTGGTGTGCATGTGTTTGATTTTAAGTAAGGTTTGGGAAGCATCAAAGAAACAGTTAATGTACCAAATTGTATATGATTGTACAAAATATGTGTGTGTGGGTGTACAGTGGTACCCCAAGTTTCGTACATAATTTGTTCCAGAAAGCTGTTCGAGTGCCGTTACTGAACGAATTTGTTCCCATAAGGAATAATGTAAATTAGATTAGTCCATTTCAGACCCCCAAAAATACACTTACAAAAGCACTTACAATAATACACTTAGATAATTTTTTGAGTTGTTAGCTGTACGAAACTCGGGGTACCACTGTATATGTGTATGTATGTATGTATGAGTGTGTGTGTATATATATATATATATATATATATATATATAGCAAGTTCATCACCATAGGATTTTATGGCTGTAAGCCCTAACAAGGGATTAACAGCTGTAAGACAGATGCAAATCTACAAAACCTGGCCCCATGAAGTTGAAATTTCCTACAAAGTGCATTTGGTTTTTTCAGTGTAAATATCTCTTCAGGAACAAAGGGTAAGGATGATGATGTGGACCACCCAGACAGCCCTAGTCATGGAGGAGAGAGCGAGTTTGTCTCAGACTCTTTTCAACCATCATCAAAAGACCTGGAGGAGGTGAAGCGAGGGATCTCCAACCTGACCAAACCCTCAGGTATGCTTCATGTATTCAGTTTTAAGTAGATGATATGAGCCAGGAAAATAATTTGTATATTTTGAGGAATGGGTTATTGTATTGTCAGGTATGGTCATAATTAATCGTATTTTAATATAAATTTAGTAACTTTTATAATAGTAAGTATTCATTTTAACACTGACTTTTGTATAATAAAATTAATTTCTTCATATACATGTACAGACACCGTTATTCATTATCATTTGACAGCTCTGATCTCAGTGCAATGTACTTCATGTAGAAGTTCGTTAAACAGGCATCCTTATCTTTGACAAGTAAAGGAGAATATTCGTTCCTGATTTCTTATGTTGTAGTACTTGTTGCACTCAACTGAAAACAGAATATTGTGTCAGCAATTAGATATGCCTTTAAAAGGAATAATTACAGTTATACTGTATTTTGTGATTTTTATCTAAAAGAAGTCGTAGTTCCCACATCATGAAAAAAATCACTGTATATTACTTACATTTTTTTTTAATATATAAAATCACATATAGTAAGTTTTCATCATTCCCATTATTTTTAGCCATCACGTTACCACTGTAAAGTTTAATTCTACAACATTCACCTACCTGGAGGTCGTTCCGAGGGTCAGTGCCCCTGCAGCTCAACCCTTGTCCAGGCCTTGACCTAGTGTTAAAATGTTTTATATTTATAAATGGATGAAGATTATAATCCTAGGTAGTAGGTTGGTAGACAGCAACCGCCCAGGGAGGTACTACCGTCCTGCCAAGTGATTGTTAAACGAAAGCCTGTAATTGTTTTGCATGATGGTAGGATTGCTGGCGTCCTTTTTTCTGTCTCATGAACATGCAAGATTTCAGGTACGTCTTGCTACTTCTGCTTACACTTAGGTCACACTACACATACATGTACAAGCATATATATACACACTCCTCTGGGTTTTCTTCTATTTTCTTTCTAGTTCTTATTCTTGTTTATTTCCTCTTATCTCCATGGGGAAGTGGAACAGAATTCTTCCTCCGTCAGCCATGCGTGTTGTAAGAGGTGATTAAAATGCTGGGAGCAAGGGGAGCTCGTGAAATTGGAACTTGTGAATGTGGAGGGCCTCCTTACAGACAGCTTGATAACTAACCCATAGAAAGTAAAGACAGTAATTTTTCACATAAATTCTATATACATATCCTTAATATTTTCCTGGCTCTGATATTTTTTATATGTAAGGCTAGAAATTTAAACTAAGAGGCATTAAATCTCATTAATTTGTAATGCAAAATCATTGAAGGGCTAATGAGCTCTTAAATAATTTTGTTTAATGTAGGTTTATTTAAGAAAACAGTACTGTGAAACCTTGATAATCCTTGTTTTAGTGGAAAGAATTCCAAAATGGAATGAACAAAATTCGGTTTGGCTTTGGTAATTCATTAATTCGGATACAAACACGAGATTTATTTTCATGGAAATAACTGTAAAAGAAATGGCAATTGTCAGACCAAATAAGACTAATAACAGTTCAGTAAGTTATAAAAGGTAAGTATTAATTATTAAAAGTTATTTATTCACATGCTAAAATGAAGCAATACAATTGATATTTTCCTGAAAGTAATCACACTTTGCTTGTCATTTTGTCTCTTAACTAAGTGTGAAAGAAAACTATTTTGAGTTATGTTATATACTCTCAGCTACCTTTTACAAATATTTCCAGCAAAATAGAATGTTATGCTGTCTAGGCTCGGTAGAGAAATGTGATAATAAATAATGGCAGGTCACAATCAGTGACAGTGACAGCCCCCCTCCATCATGCCCATTAAGTAAAGTCTTGTCACATGGCCACAGGCTCATGTGCTAGCTAGAAAACACAGAGAGAGAGAGAGAGAGAGAGAGAGAGGAAAAAATCAGTTGATGGGATTTTTCATTAAGAGGATGTTCTCCTGCCTTAGTCTGAATAATTGAGTGTTTACTGTTGTTAATTTTTATTTTTCCATTTTAAAAAATGAAAAAATAAGAATTATCTGTACTTGGACAAAATCTAAAGTTTGAACTGTAGAGAGTAAGATGTATTTTATTTATAATTTTGAAGAAGTTGAAGGTACTTCAGTATTATAAAAACAAATAATGATAAATTCATAGTCATTAAGAGGAAGGATATGCAGTAAATGTTCATAATATAGGGATAGGCTCCTGGAGCAGATTGGCCCATGGCTGGGCTCCAGGAGTAGAAAGACTCGAAACTCATCAAAGGTATATCAGGTTGAATGTAGCAAGGTTTATCAACTGTCAGTAAGTAAAAATAAAAAGGCACATTTCCTTACCAAATTGTATGAAATCTATAGGAACTGACCAAATCTTTACCAAATGAAAATATACTAAAAATATATGCATTTGATAAAGCCAAAGCAAAGAAAAATATTAACCCTTTTACTGTCCATTACGTAGAATCACATCATTGAGGCCAGGGTCCCTAACGTAGTTCTGTGTCATGAGGTCAACTCGCTCAGATAAGCTGCGAGTGATAAATGTTGGCCTAGATATGAGAGAATGGGTCAGTGTAGTGAGTGCACAGTATAAAAAAAATCCTGCCCCACTCAGTGCATGAGAAAAACAACTGTGACCATTTGTATAGTTTAAAATAGCAACTTTGAGGTATTTTCTCAGATGATCTTCATGGTTTAATTGTTTTTTCTTAGTATCATTTAACTCAATGGAAGACATTCTTCTAAAACAGAGATGACTCTGATTGGTTTCAGGACTGGAAGTAGCTTGAAATAGAGCTCGAAGTAGTGGAAATATTCAATTTTTGTAGATACTCCAGAGAACGGGTAAGGACTCCTTACAACCCCCAATCTGTTTTATGGATTTTTAATAGGTCTGGTTCAGTTATTGGGATGCTGTAAATCATGAGCAATTTTTTCTGGTTATATTTTATTATCCAAGAAGTGAAGTAAATCTTATTTTTGAGTGAATAAGAATTCAAAATGGAAGACAAGTGAAATACAAGAGAGGCCTAAGACCATGTCTGATGAATATAGAAAATGTTGTTTTACTGCCAGGAATGTCCACATTGTTTTTAATAGACTATTTTTAAGTTGGCATTTTTGTAATTTTGTGTAAAACTGGTCAAATTACCAACTTCTGTGCACTTTATAGGGTAGTTGAATGGGCTGTTTCTTGTGCTCACTTGATAGAACAGAAGGCATGCTAATGAAATAGCCAAGAATTTGATCAAGTGGATTAATGAAATTGGATTAAAATATTACTCAAACTGGGCAAAATTACTGATGCATAAATTGTTCTGAGACTGCTGATTTTGCGCCTGCATACGTAATTCTGGTAAATTTCCATCAAATTTCATACTTTTGGTGTCATTACCTTTCAAAAAAAATTCTCTACTATTTCAGACCAGTATGAATTTCGGGAGTCTGGACAGTGAAAGGGTTTAACTGGGTGCAGTTTACTTATTGCCACATAATGCAATGTTTAAGGGAAAAAAGATATCTTGTTGAGTTTGCTGCCAAGTGTATTCCTTGTCACTTGCTGAAATTACACTGATCAAAATGTCACTCAGCTTACGATGACCATATTGCTTTAGTCACTACAGTACTGTATTCTTAAACATTTTAAATATGAATAAATAATTGGTGCTAATACAGTAATATTTTATTATGCAAGGAAGCATATATAATTGATACAGTACTGTTATCAATATTGGATTTCACACATAATGGTGGATAATATTTTTATAATGTACATTGTAACGTGTTTGCTACACATTACTTCATGTACTGTATCTAATAATATGAAATGAAGTTGAGCACTTCCAGTAGTAGTAAGATATCTCATAGATTAAGTACGTTAATTATAATGTAAATAATTGTTTAAAACTTGTATTCTTAAGAATTATGTATTCTTCCTCATTTTTTTCCTATTCAGGCTGGTATGTCATTTTGGCTCTCAGTAGAGATACAATACATATTATTTGATTGTCACTGACTACTTTAGTGTGGGAGTGATGAGGTCATTACCAGTACTGCCTTTGTTTTCAGATCTACAAGTCTACAGATCTACATGTTTTAATTTTTATGATGATGAGGAAGGTCTGTTCTGTATCAGTCAGACTGAACTAACATTTAACATGCTGATTATCTAACAGTTTTATCTTACCAATTTCTTAGTGCAAGATGCTCGTTATCTACACTACACCACATCAATAAATATATATTGCTAGCTTCGAGAGTACTGACGTATTCATGTATTTCAGTTGTTCAGTTTTAATGTTGTTTACCACTAAATACAGCATTTTTTGCTTAGGAAGTTGCTACTCAGAGGAATATTCATTGCCCAAATAAATAACATAAGAGGTGAACAATTTGCATATGTTATACTTAAATAAATGCTCTCACAAAACTATATTTGCTGCTATGATACATTTGTTTTATGAGGCAAATCTGTACTAGTCCGTTTATACTTCACTCGGCTTCAGCTACTACTAGTGAGAATAGATTCCGTTTAATGTTCTTTATTTTAATAATCCTTATGATTTTTTGTCAGGTTAGCTGCATATATACAGTATTTCATGGAGTAGGACTCCTTTGAGCAGTACCCTTGAAATTGGTCAACTTTTGTTTGTGCAGCACTTGTGATCAATGAACAAAATGTTAGAAATATTAATAGTGGAGAAATGCCCTTACACCAGTTACACCAAATTTAAATTTAATATCTTTAGAAGACTTAAGAGTTACTAATGTGTATGTTGCGCATGCGTGTGTACAAATAATTTACTTGTTTTCATTTACAATATACACATATGACTTAGAGAGCGTATAAATCTATAGCGGATGGAAGGCAGGGTAGGGGTTGTCCTCGAAAAGGTTGGAGGGAAGGGGTAAAGGAGGTTTTATGGGCGAGGGGCTTGGACTTCCAGCAAGCGTGTGTGAGCATGTTAGATAGGAGTGAGTGGAGACGAGTGGTTTTTGGGGCCTGACAGACTGTTCGAGTGTGAGCCAGCAATATTTTGTGAAGGGATTCAGGGAAACCGGTTAACTGGACTTGAGTCCTAAAAATGGGAAGTACAGTGCCTGCACTTTAAAGAAGGGGTTTGGTATATTGGCAGTTTGGAGGGACATCTAAACTGTCATATCTGAACGCCTCTGCAAAGACGGTGATTATGTATGAGTAATGGTGAAAGTGTTGAATGATGATGAAATTTTTGACTTTCTTTTGGGGTTTTTCTTTCGTTTTGGGTCACCTTCCTTGGTGGGAAACTGCTGACTTGTTAAAAAAAAATATATGGTTTGTTAATTTTTTTAACACATCAGCTGTTTCCCACTGAAGCAGGGTGACCCCCCCCCCCCCCCCAAAAAAAAAAAAATATATTATATTTATTTTTTATTATTTTATTATCACACTGGCCGATTCCCACCAAGGCAGGGTGGCCCGAAAAAGAAAAACTTTCACCATCATTCACTCCATCACTGTCTTGCCAGAAGGGTGCTTTACACTACAGTTTTTAAACTGCAACATTAACACCCCTCCTTCAGAGTGCAGGCACTGTACTTCCCATCTCCAGGACTCAAGTCCGGCCTGCCGGTTTCCCTGAATCCCTTCATAAATGTTACTTTGCTCACACTCCAACAGCACGTCAAGTATTAAAAACCATTTGTCTCCATTCACTCCTATCAAACACGCTCACGCATGCCTGCTGGAAGTCCAAGCCCCTCGCACACAAAACCTCCTTTACCCCCTCCCTCCAACCCTTCCTAGGCCGACCCCTACCCCCGCCTTCCTTCCACTACAGACTGATACACTCTTGAAGTTATTCTGTTTCGCTCCATTCTCTCTACATGTCCGAACCACCTCAACAACCCTTCCTCAGCCCTCTGGACAACAGTTTTGGTAATCCCGCACCTCCTCCTAACTTTCCCAAACTACGAATTCTCTGCATTATATTCACACCACACATTGCCCTCAGACATGACATCTCCACTGCCTCCAGCCTTCTCCTCGCTGCAACATTCATCACCCATGCTTCACACCCATATAAGAGCGTTGGTAAAACTATACTCTCATACATTCCCCTCTTTGCCTCCAAGGACAAAGTTCTCTGTCTCCACAGACTCCTAAGTGCACCACTCACTCTTTTTCCCTCATCAATTCTATGATTCACCTCATCTTTCATAGACCCATCCGCTGACACGTCCACTCCCAAATATCTGAATACGTTCACCTCCTCCATACTCTCTCCCTCCAATCTGATATTCAATCTTTCATCACCTAATCTTTTTGTTATCCTCATAACCTTACTCTTTCCTGTATTCACCTTTAATTTTCTTCTTTTGCACACCCAACCAACAAGTGTCTCATTATATTTGAGTTTGTGGGTTAGGGTGGGGGGATAGTTCTCCAGCTCTGTGTTCTACCTCTCAACTTATGACTGACTGGCATAAAATAGCCCTGTTACATCTATTTTTAAAGCAATGTATAGAGTCAGCCTCAACTGTGTCATTGTGCAATTCATGCAAATTATTTCCCACTCTAATAGTGAAGAAATGTTTTCTGATATGGGTAATTACAGTCTAGGAATATGGAGTCCACCCATCCCTTTCTTTCCTGTCTGACTTTTGTTAGGCTATCTTATGCAACTGTAAGGCTTGTAAAGCACAACCTTCCATTTTTCTAAATAATAATATTATATTGTGAAGATGTTTGTACTATTTGTAGGTAGTAGGTTGGTAAACAGCAACCGCCCAGGGAGGTACTACCGTCCTGCCAAGTGAGTGTAAAATGGAAACCTGTAATTGTTTTACATGATGGTAGGATTGCTGGTGTCCTTTTGTCTGTCGCATAAACATGCAAGATTTCAAGTACATCTTGCTACTTCTACTTACACTTAGGTCACACTACACATACATGTACAAGCATATATATACACACCCCTCTGGGTTTTCTTCTATTTTCTTACTAGTTCTTGTTCTTGCTTATTTCCTCTTACCTCCATGGGGAAGTGGAACAGAGTTCTTCCTCCGTAAGCCATACGTGTTGTAAGAGGCAACTAAAATGCCAGGAGCAAGGGGCTAGTAACCCCTTCTCCTGTATATATTACCCACTCTAAAACCTCCTTGCTCATCCGCAATCCTACATTCTGTCTTACCTCTAATTCTTTCAATTATAACCCTACCGTACACTTTTCCTGGTATACTTAATAAGCTTACTGAGTATACCAGGAAAAGTGTACGGTAGGGTTATAATTGAAAGAATTAGAGGTAAGACAGAATGTAGGATTGCGGATGAGCAAGGAGGTTTTAGAGTGGGTAGGGGATGTGTAGATCAGGTGTTTACATTGAAGCATATATGTGAACAGTATTTAGATAAAGATAGGGAAGTTTTTATATGCATTTATGGATTTAGAAAAGGCATATGATAGAGTGGATAGAGGAGCAATGTGGCAGATGTTGCAAGTATATGGAATAGGTGGTAAGTTATTAAATGCTGTAAAGAGTTTTTATGAGGATAGTGAGGCTCAGGTTAGGGTGTGTAGAAGAGAGGGAGACTACTTCCCGGTAAAAGTAGGTCTTAGACAGGGATGTGTAATGTCACCATGGTTGTTTAATATATTTATAGATGGGTTGTAAAGGAAGTAAATGCTAGGGTGTTTGGGAGAGGGGTGGGATTAAATTATGGGGAATCAAATTCAAAATGGGAATTGACACAGTTACTTTTTGCTGATGATACTGTGCTTATGGGAGATTCTAAAGAAAAATTGCAAAGGTTAGTGGATGAGTTTGGGAATGTGTGTAAAGGTAGAAAGTTGAAAGTGAACATAGAAAAGAGTAAGGTGATGAGGGTGTCAAATGATTTAGATAAAGAAAAATTGGATATCAAATTGGGGAGGAGGAGTATGGAAGAAGTGAATGTTTTCAGATACTTGGGAGTTGACGTGTCGGCGGATGGATTTATGAAGGATGAGGTTAATCATAGAATTGATGAGGGAAAAAAGGTGAGTGGTGCGTTGAGGTATATGTGGAGTCAAAAAACGTTATCTGTGGAGGCAAAGAAGGGAATGTATGAAAGTATAGTAGTACCAACACTCTTATATGGGTGTGAAGCTTGGGTGGTAAATGCAGCAGCGAGGAGATGGTTGGAGGCAGTGGAGATGTCCTGTTTAAGGGCAATGTGTGGTGTAAATATTATGCAGAAAATTCAGAGTGTGGAAATTAGGAGAAGGTATGGAGTTAATAAAAGTATTAGTCAGAGGGCAGAAGAGGGGTTGTTGAGGTGGTTTGGTCATTTAGAGAGAATGGATCGAAGTAGAATGACATGGAAAGCATATAAATCTATAGGGGAAGGAAGGCGGGGTAGGGGTCGTCCTCGAAAGGGTTGGAGAGAGGGGGTAAAGGAGGTTTTGTGGGTAAGGGCTTGGACTTCCAGCAAGCGTGCGTGAGCGTGTTAGATAGGAGTGAATGGAGACGAATGGTACTTGGGACCTGACGATCTGTTGGAGTGTGAGCAGGGTAATATTTAGTGAAGGGATTCAGGGAAACCGTTATTTTCATATAGTCGGACTTGAGTCCTGGAAATGGGAAGTACAATGCCTGCACTTTAAAGGAGGGGTTTGGGATATTGGTAGTTTGGAGGGATATGTTGTGTATCTTTATATGTGTATGCTTCTAGACTGTTGTATTCTGAGCACCTCTGCAAAAACAGTGATAATGTGCGAGTGTGGTGAAAGTGTTGAATGATGATGAAAGTATTTTCTTTTTGGGGATTTTCTTTCTTTTTTGGGTCACCCTGCCTCGGTGGGAGACGGCCGACTTGTTGAAAAAAAAAAAAAAAGTAAAAGGAGAAACTTTCGTTTTTTCTTTTGGGCCACCCCGCCTCGGTGGGATACGGCCGGTGTGTTGAAAGAAGTAAGTTAGTACTATTTAGATGTTTAACAAGTTTTTTCCTTATAATCTATCATTTTATGCATCACTCTCATTAGGGACACTAGCCTACAGTTTGCATCTTACAACTTCTCTTTTTCTTAATTTCACTTTCACCAGGTAGCAGAATATCAGCCGACAATGACTGCTTGCTCCCAGTTACATTCTTTATTCAG